CTAATAGAATCCATCGATTAACAGGCAAAAACAAACATTCACTCTCCCGTCAAAGAAATGTTTTTTGTGTATGTGTTTGAATATGAAACATTCTTTTACTGAGTATCTTTAGTGAAAGAAGGTCGTCGTTAATAAATTCATAAGATACAGCGATCATGCGTGTAAGTAAAACGTTACAGATGGATTCTAGTAAACTTATTTGCTTTTTTTATTATCTAGAGACTCAATGTGCATGAATTGGAAAATGCCAATTCATCGACTCCGAACATAAATTCTACACAAGTCAGTCAATACTTGTTTTTCTCTACTGATTTTTCAAAGTATCATGAGAAGAACTTATTCCCAATAGGCCTCATGACAAAACTGAGAAAATATATAAATACTAAAACAAGAAGATAAAAGCAAAGACAGTAGACATGAAATCTGATGAGAATGAGTAAGAGTGAATTTTAATTATTTATTTTTATGTATAGAATGAAGCGCAACGATTGAATATTCAAGCGAACATAGACGATCTACCATCTATCCCATCAGTCTTTGCTTCAAGGTCAGTATTTTTACATAATAATAATGCTTCTGATCATCTTGTTGGTATATTTTAACAGATATGATGGAAAAGAAACGATGAAAAAAAGAAAGAGACTCATAAAGATGCTTCTAATTACGTTGGGAATCTGCTGTGGTCTAGGTATTGCAGCCGCAGCTATCGCGGTACCTATACAAGTTATAAACAGCCGAAGTAGTAATTCCGATGCATCGGCAACAATAGTTGGTAAGTAGTAGGAAAATAGAGGCGTGATCTAGTACTATCTGAATGTAGGGTGCGGGTGCGAATGACAATACAAAAAAAACTAAAAGACCCACACCCATGTAAAAAAAACTAATCGATTATAATTATACGATTCTAACCATTAACTTCTTCATCAATAATCACCGAGAACTCATTGTTTTTCATTATAATCGATTCGAAACTAACGTAAGTAAAGAATTATGATAATCGAAAATATAAAAATAATCGATTATATGATGATTTTTCGGTGGTTGTTGCTATGTAAATAAATGATTGACGTCGTATAATTATAATCGATTCAAAATCAGATTCTTTGTAACTATTAAGCGAAAGATTTTATATGGAAAATATTTTCTGTTGATGATTTACATCACAAACAGCTATCGCGATTATTTGTAGGCTCACCGACAGTTTTACCAGCAACATCAACATCAACAACAACAACAACAACGTCAGTAATGGGAACATCGGTCATATCAGCAATGACGACAGGAACGACATCAACTAAAACGACAGAAACAACATCGACTACATCAACTACCTCTACTACAACGACAGATACAACATCGACCACCTCCACTACAACGACGGAAACAACGTCTGCTACATCAACAACCTCTACAACATCGACAGAAACAACATCGACTACATCAACTACCTCTACTATAACGACGGAAACAACATCGACTACCTCTACTACAACGACAGAAACAACGTCCACTACATCAACTACTTCCACTACAACAACGGAAACAACATCGACTACATCAACTACCTCTACTAAAACGACAGATACAACATCAACAACCTCTACAACATCGACGACAACGACAGAAACAACATCAACCACCTCGACCACATCCACTACAACGACAGAAACAACGTCCACTACATCAAC